GCGTAGGAACTGTAGGAGACTGAGTACTAATGGGAGAGGGAGAGTAGACCTTTACGATCTCCAGACAGGCTGACCAGACTCAAGTGGATGAAGTAGCACCAAAGGACATCTGGGTACAAATGCTTGACAGAACTTATCGTGTATGGCAGAATGTATTAGGTCTAGTGGGGGTTGGGGGAACATGGGGGGGGAGTCTAAATTTGATTATTTTTTTTTTTTAAAAAAAGAACAAAGGCTGTGGGGTGGCTCAGCTAATAAAGTGGCTGCCACATAAGCACGAGGACCTGAGTTCGAGCCTCAGCACCCACCTAAGAGCTAGATGTGGCAATTGTGTGCTGGAAAGATGGAGACAGGAGGGTCGCTAGGGCTGGCTGGCTGGCCAGTTTAGCTGCATGAGTGAGATCCGTGTTCAGTGAGATATCCTGTCTCAAAAAAATGTGGAGGGGCAGGTAGGCTCCTCAGGGGCTGATGGCACTTGCTGCCCAAAGTTGCAAACCTGACAACCCCAGTTAAGATTCCCAGGCAGAAGGAGAGAACTGACTACACAAAAATAATTGTCCTCCGACCTCCACAGGCACACTGGAGGAGGGTGGAGAGCAACTGAGGAATGAGGAAATGAGGAAGACACCTGGCTTTGACTGCTGACCTCTACATTCCCATGAGCACACACTTAAATACACATGAGAGCACGCGCACACACACACACACACACACACACACACACACACATACACGCACACGCGCACGCACACGCAAAACTTGAGAAAACGAGGAAATCCTGAACCACATAACTGGATGAGGGTGAGGTGAGAATGTAGGGGAACTGAACTGTGAATCCTAGGTCAGCTCAGGATATTGAGTACAGACAAAGCCGTTCATAAAGGTGGGCAACATGGAAGTAGGAGAAAGAGGAGGAACCAGGTGAAGGTTAAGTCAGTTTGGATTTGTGAGTACAAATTTTTGAGTGTGTGACATCACGTGCAAATTTCTAGTAGAGAGCCACATATATGAACATGAAAAGTAAGAGAGGCCAAGACAAAAATCGATACCATTAGAGGACTGTCCAAATATAGGTGATGATTAAACTACTGAAATGGATGGCAACCTAGATACTGCATCCACAGTATCTGCACAGTGTGGGATTTAAAAAAAGAGAGAGAGGGAAAAACTTCCGGATGGTGAGGCAGGTGCAAAAGGCCAATGGGGAAAAATAGAAATAAAGTTTAGGAAGATAAGTGTATTCATTAGCTTCACATTGCTACAACAAAATACCTCAAATAGGCTACTTATAAGGAAAACGTGGTTTACTACGTTCACAGTTCTGGGGGTTCAAAGGTCTCAGACCAGGCAGTTCCACTGGTTTAAGCACCTGGTTAGCATGGCACAGGATGGCAGGGGTACATATTGGAGTGACTGCTCATATCCTGAGTCATAACGTGAAGGGAGGACCTAAGGACTTCCTACTAGGTCTCACCTCTTAAGGGTCCATGGCACCTCCCAATAAGTCCACCTTCGTGTGTGAGAAGCACACATCCAAATCATAGCAACAAGGAACCATTCTGCAGAGGAGAGAGCGGCAAATAAAGCTGGGTGGTAAAGAAGCTAGAGCTGAGCAGCCTCCAGTGGCTGTGAAAACACAGAGACGGCGAGCAGTCCCAGCAAAGCTCCAGGGGCTGTCCGTACAGATCCTCGAGCAAACTGTGACCCAGCGACACTGTGTGACTATTCCACCATGGCTCAATGTGACCTAATACCAAGTACGAAAGGTTGGTGGTAACTTCATTTTCAAAAAGTTTAATAGAAAACTCTCATAATACCAAGATGACGAGTATTTTTCCGAAGCTCCTGAAATGGCTAGACTTTCCCAGCACATTAGCACAAATCAAGGGTTATTACTGATCCGTCAAGTTTAAATGTGGCAATGAATCAAGGTCAGTGTACAACAGCCAGCTATTTTTATTGCAATCCCACCCTTAAACTCTAGATAAACTTGAGGCCCAAACAGCGGTTGTATCATGTTACCTATTCCTGTTAAATAAATAGTAATTTTGTTAACAAATACACTCCCACAAATGCTGTAAAACTCTATAATCAGGACACCTGGGGAGCATACAGCTCTCATATTCCAACCAGATAAGTCTTCAGTTGGCAACCAGGCATTGCTGCTTCTCTAAGTTCATCTCTCTTAACAGCACACAAAGAATGGAATCCAGCCTGAGACTTGTTGCTAAAACCCACAAACACCAAGAGATCCTACTACAGCGATGGAACCTTAGTATGAAAAGAAAACAATCTATTCCATACATTTAAAAACAATCTTGAGGCCCGTGATTCTGTATTCAAAGAAACAAGACCAGACTTCTGCAAGCAGCAGACAAACATTTTCATTCAAAAGGCGTGAACTGAACCCAAGCGAGCTGACAAGGATGGTGGCTTGTGCCTCACAGGCAGAGGCAGCTGCTGGCTGGCACCTAACCATAGATGGCTTCACTACAGTTAAACACAACTTTCTGAGACAGAAAAAGGAATGGAATGAAACTGTACATCAAGACTTGAGATGCCGAACTCCTGGCATTTTTTAGATTTACCCAAAAGGTCCATCTCATCGTTCATAAATGACTATGGTACAACTCTAAGTGGTACAAGGGGCAAGGCTGGTACCCAAGGAAGAGCAAGACAGAGTGCAGCCCAAAGAGGGACCTCACTTTCACATCTGAGGTAATATTTATTCTCAGTAAGACCACAAAGGGAATGGTTATACTTTTGAGTGAGATTTTACATTTCGGGGGGGGGGGGGAGAATACCTTCCAAGGTGACCTTCATGAACCCAGAATCTCACAAAGGATGCAGGGAGTATCCTACTGAAAGTCAACAGTTTGCAGTATACCCCAGAATGCACAGAATCAGCAAAGCAAAGCTTCGCAGAATGTCCCTTCTCTAGGCCTTGAAGTTACACTTAAAAAGAATTATTATCTTACTAAAACTGGAATGGTGGGCTGGGAAACTGACCTGAATTTTTTACAAGTGAAGACTATCCACATACTTCGAAATGAAAATGATACAATCATCCTAGCAGCCCAAAAATGTAGGGCTGAGATTTGACAACTCATCCTGGGATCTGCAATCTTGGTCTAGGGTTCTCAGATAACACCCCAACCCATGCAGAGGAATAGTGAGTGGGGTTCAACATCCAGGCCACGGCAGCCTCACTTCCACCCCTTCTATCCCTGAGGCCCACAGAAGCACAGGCTCCTCCTGGGGTCTTCAGGCACACTCTCAGGGAGATGCACTGTCCCCTGGGCGGGTATCACAGGCACAGGCAAGAATCTTCTCTAGAAGCCTAGGAGCCCATGTGGAAAAAATGGATTCGTGCATTTTCTAAGCAATGGAAGTCGATTAGCCACACAAACTATTTCCACTTCTTGTCAGCTTGATGAACTTTTGAGAAGCAACAAGCTTTAGCTTCTGTCACAGAAATTAAATTCCATATGGAATCAGAAAATATTCCACTACTTTATCAAATGGAATACCGTGAAAGGAAATGACTCAAATCATCTCCTTGTGGAAGCCTCTGGATTGCTCTGTGGAAGAAGAAACAGCACTGGCAAGAGAAAAAAGTCCCTTAAACAATGCTTCTTAGGCTCATCTTTCCAAACAGGAGCCAAATCATGAATTATGGTTAACACAAACCCCGGAAAGAGCCAAGTTTGGAATGAGTAGTACAAAGAATTTATTCAGAGATCTCTTGGATGCTTTTCCTTCTCAAAAATAATGAAGGCAAAAGGAGTCCAGACAGGAGTGGAGTGCCTGTGGGTGAGGAGGCTTTTATTGATATAAACAGCAAGGCCCTATAAGTAAATCTTCAGAAATTTAATGAAGAATTTTAGAAAGACCACTTTTGTGTGTGTGTTTGTAAACCATTTCTATGTGGCTCCCTGGTATTCTGAGATGGGTAAGTGATGATGTGTCACAACAGCTCAAAGGTTAGACTACAAGACTTCACAGAGAGGCCGCTCCACTTTTTTCTCCTAAAGTAGACCGTTGATTTATGTCTGGAAACCTGCCCTTGGCACCCTGTTTTCGCTGGACATGGTTTTGTCAGATGAGTAAGGATCACAGGAAGGGACACTTCTACCCACCACAGTTCCCAGACACAGTCACCTCCCTGGCTCTGAAGGTTTCCACAGAAGCATCACAAGATGTAGCCAAAATGAGCAAAGAGAGGAAAGGACAGTGGGTGGGCAGAAAACAAACTGGTTGCATCTAGCAGATGTCAGCAGATTGAAGCTATCTTCATTAGCATCCGTAATTCAAAGTTAACTCAATTTACAGAGCAGTGATGTAGAACTTCAGATCCCACGCACATTTCGATCTAGTTATCCAAGGCCTAGATTCCAGTTCAAGGTGTTTCATCTATGAACTGCAGTGACGTGCATGCTCATCACTTAGACTCACCACTACCCTCATCTATGATTCCTCACCTTCCCGGATCCACAGCCCTTGGATTCCCCCTTGCACAGCTCAGGGTTCACCAAGTGCTTTAACCCTTCCTGTGGGCCACCTTCTCTCTACTATTTTCTTCTCTGTGCCTGCTGAGAATTCCCCTTCTTGGAATTCTTTTCAAATAAAATGATAGAAACACTGACACTCAACCAAAACCTTACGTTCTGTTGCTCCTATCTTATCACTTGCCCCCAAACAATGAAGTGTCAAAGATAACAGAGCCACTGTCACCTCAAGAGTCTGCTCAGTTTTAATCCATCTGGCCATTAAATGTGTAGTGAGGATATCTGTGATAATCACACAGAAATTAAAGAGTACAGCACAGACAAACCCCACTGCCAGGAACTAAATGCACTGTAGCATGTTACCTGGTGGCTCATGGGTAATATCCATGCTTTGAAAGCCACTTGGATGATATGGCAAGATAGTGCTTAGGGGCTTACTGCTATTTGAATTTGGGACCCAGACCAAAATGAGCTTTTGAGGGCTGTACTCACCGCCTCTCCAGTGGGCGTCCATCACTGGAGATGCTTCGAGGGATGTTGGCAGCTCTTTCTGGAGGAGGCATCTTCCCATCTCCTTTCCCAGCATTCAGCCGTGAGGTCATGGGACTCTGCACCTGGGACGGGACTTGAGGTGAATGAGGGCCCTTGTTAGCATTCCGCTGCCATTTGTTGTTATTTCGGAAGGGAAACTTGAACTCATAGGAGACACCTTCATTCATCTTGTACTCCATCACTGGCATGCGATAGGTTTCTGAGCAACTCCTATTGAGGGGAAGGAACAGGGAGATGAAGAACACTGTTTCCTCTTGTCGGAGCCACACTGATTCTCTTCAATACCTTCTAGTTCTCTTTCAACTTTGGGCCTTGAAATTTTATTTTCAAAAACAGAACCTAGCAGGGCATGGTAGTGCATGCCTTTAATCCCAACACTCAGGAGGCAAGGGCAGGAGGATGACTGTGAGTTCAAGGCCAGACTGGTCTATATAGCGAGTTCCAAGCCAGTTGGGGCTTCAAGGAAACCCTGTCTCAAAAAGACCAAAAACCAAGCCAAAACAAATAAACTCCAGAAGAATTACACTAGTGTTTTCCTTTACTCCAGTCCCAACTGTGTGGTCTGAGGCAAGGAGTCTGTAAAAGGTCACAGGATCCCAGAGCACAAAGGTTAACCCTTGGGTATCACAGCTAGGAATCTAAATGACAGTGCAGCTCCAAATGTGTTGGGATTCTAAGAGCCAAGAAATTAAGTCAGGAGAAATCCTGAAACCCAAACAGAAAGTCAAATTTGACCTAGTAGAGGAAAATCCAATTACAGAAATGCTACAACTATTCAATCCCTAGGGACACAAAGCATAGTCTAAAATTAGATTTCTTCCCCTGCCCCCAAAGAAAGAAGTCTAGAGCAAACCTACTGTCCTCAGGCCTGAGCAAAATTAATAGCCAGCCACACAAGTCCTGTCACTTGTCACTACCTTAACCGTCAACCCTCAGGAAGCCTGAACCCCACCTTCCAGTCTTTACATCTAAACAGAGAGAAGAATTAACTCTGTGGACAAAGTTCCTACTGAAGTATTAACCTGGGCACCTGGAATCCATCATTAAGTAAATTCATACTGGAATGGCAAGGGATGGGGAAAGGTGACTCCCCACTGCCTTCAGAGCCAGGGAACCACGACTGGCTCATGGTCTCTTTCTTATTTCTGAAAACCGAAGAATGAAGACGGAATGGAGAGTGGACAGCACTCTGAAGGGCAGGGTTGACAGCTGTCTGCCATTTAATGCCATGTGCAAATGGTTATGAAAAGATTTCATGGTGTCATCTGAAGAAAAGCGTAGTAGTGAAGAGGAAACTAAGACAATGTGCAATAGGCAGGGCACTAATTTAGCCACATTATAGAAACTCCATGATGGCTACTATCCTGCACTACATCGGCTGTATGCATGAGGAAGTGGGAGCCTGGAGAGAGTAAAATGCCCCAGTTTGCACAGGCAGGAGGTGGGACAGCCAGGCTTAAGCTCACAGAATTAGTGTTTTGCAGGCTTGTCTCATTTAGTCACTGACTAGAGAATGCCATGCCAGTGACCTGGACATCCTTCACATGCAGAGACAATCACGCCTCACTCAAGGGATAGCCTGAAACAACAAGAACACTTGATCTTTTACAAATCAGTTGGAGCTCCAGTCAGCAAGAATTACAATTTCAGAGCTAAATGTGACAAAGAATGACCCATGCATTCCCTGAAAGGCCATTCCACTTTCTGGTTCTAATTTTCAGTCTTCACTCTTTCTGGATTTCACTTCTTATTTCTTATCACGCTCTCCTTTTTCCCTCGGGCACTATGGGAAATAAAGAGGCTGAGCAGCACAGCGAACAGAGCATCTCAACACTGGTCTCCTAAGTCAGAAAAGCCTTATGTGTGAGGGCAGCTTGGTCCCTAGAAGCTGTGACTTTGGCTCTGAAAGAACACGCAACTTCTTTCAACGGAAGCACCTTTGAAAAATGAGATTTGAACCAGATGAGTTCTAACAACCCTTCCAGCTCAAAAGCGGTGTGCTTTCTCACTTCCAAAACAAGGAGACACTTTGCAACTTTTTCTTACTTAGAAGATAGTTTGCTTCTCAAATCCCTAGCAAAAGAAGTAATACTAAAGGTAGTTTGGTCTTTTTATATAACGGTTTGTTTTTTGCTCTTGAATGGCTCTTGATTGCAGAGTAGTTCCTTACAGAATAAAGCTGTTCCATCCAAACATCTCAATTTAATCTGTTAGGTAGATGGCTTTAGGTCTCAGAGATCACAGACACTGGTGGTCATACTCTCTGGACATGGTGATAGAGGGACTCAAGGGGGCCTTCTCACTGGGGTGAGGGGCACACAGGACAAATCTCTGGCAGGCTCACCAGAACTACCTTCACATTGCTGTCCTTCAGCCTCTTACTCTGGGCAGCACCTGCACCCTCCATTCTCTTTACTGTTTTAACAAAAAAGGGAAGCTGTTGTAAGGTTTTCATAAGAAATGAAACAAAATCCACTGGTTCTGTAGCAGGGGCTCAGAAACTTGGCTTTGCTTTCTGTTCCTTCTCTTAAACAAATTGCAGCTCTGAAGCAATTGTGGAGGGGGTCTGCTGGTTTGCTAAGAGCAGAGAAAAGGCTACATTTTACATTTGTTACATAAACACCACCTTCTGTTGCTGTTAAACCAGCATCTATTTTTGAAAAGCTGCCTTTTCAAAGTGAAGGACTCTCACATGTGCACACGTGCTCTGTGTATGACCTGTGGTCCCCATGTGGCTGTCCATGATGCTCTCAGTGTCCTGGCAACACTAAGAACCAAAGAGCAGTGAGTAGTGAGCTTCAAGGAGACCTGTTCTGCCTCCCAGAAAGGAAAGGCTGACAAAAGGATGAGAGTGACTAGTCAAAGAACAGAGTAATTAGTTGCTAGGAAAACAGCAGTGGGCGTGTGAAGTGCAAGGAGAAGAGACAGAAGAGCATTATCCTATTGAAATCTGTAACAAGGTGTTAATGCTTCAACTGTTCCCTTTGAAGTCAGTTCTGCAGGAAGGAAGCAGCTTTTCAGGACTCCAAAGGCATCCACATAGGCCACGTTTTCCCACCTGCTTGCTCAGATGGGGCAGGGAGGCTGTGGCTTAGCACCTAGCCTTCACCACAGCCTCCTGCCCAGCACTTGGCAACACGCAACTGCAGTAAGTCAGCTCAGCCTATGGCAGAAGTGTTCTAAGTGGTGCTGGAAGCAGATGTGGCTCCTTCACTCAAGGGCCAGCAGAGCCACCTGCTCTGACATAGAACAAGTTGTTTCATCTGCCCCAACTCTGTCTTTACTAAACATGCCATGGCGGTAATTTGAAAGCAGCCAGTGCAAGAAGTTAACACCATGGGAATTCTACAGATCAAAGTCAATTTGCCAGCATGCGCATGATACTTATGCCACTAGCGTAAAAGGCAAGGGTCTGTACCAGCCTACAGAAAAGCAGATACAAGTTGGACTCCAAAGCCAAACCTACCGTTGTCAGACAAGCTTGGGAAGTTACTTGGTTTATTTTTTGGTTTGTTTTTGTTTTTATTCATTTATTTATTTATTTATTTATTTATTTATTTATTTATTTAGTTAGTTAGTTAGTTAGTTAGTTAGTTAGTTAGTTAGTTAGTTATTGTGTGGGCAGGGTGCCACTGTGTACACAGGTAGAGAGAGGTCAGAAAACAGCTTGTGGAATCTTCTACCACATGGGACCCAGGAATCGAACTCAGATCATCAGGATTGGGGGCAAGAGACTATACCTGCTGAACCATCTCACTAGCCCTACTTAGCTTTTTTTAAACAAGTAACAATACGTTTTTTAGGACCTGGAACATTAATGTAAAATGCATAGCCAATGTTATTTGTCTCAACACACTAAAGATGATAAATCCAGTCTGGAACAGTGCTGTAGTTACACATTTCTCATCACAGGCCTATCTCTCCAGGTCTGACTCATCTTTCTCCTCATAATTATTCAGTTTCAGAGTCAGCAAGGCAGCTCCCATATCTACCAGACATCAGCCTATTTCCTTTCAGCTCCCTCAAACAAACCTGGAAGCCTAGAAAAGACAAGACCGATGGGTAGAGCAACAAGTCCTCAGGCCAGTGTCCATAACTCAGAAAGCTTGCTTATTTTCTTCTGTTGGTAACTGTCTGTCTAGGAGCTCAAGGGAAAGCGGGCAGGTAACAGCAGAGAAGCGCCAAGGCACTTGGAGAGTGTTCTAGATAAGAACCCAACTGCTCTCTGAACCACCCTGTGTTGTGCTTTGTTAATGATGATGTACTTGGAAAGTCCAGAAAGCCTGACAGAGATTTTGAGACCTTGCTCTCTAACACAGGGCATGCATGTGGGATGGTTTCAGAATCTCCCCTACCCCAAATTAGCTAAAATTAAAGGTTGTGCATATATACCTTTGATTTCTTGAGAAACCCAGCTATACAGAAGAGAATACTTCTTATTGCTTTCAGACTGAAGGGTTTCACTAGATTTTGTCGCAGGAACATGACTCCCAGGCTGTCTATGGCATGGGCAGCACTAGGAAATGCTATTCCAAGCAGTCTGGTTTGAACTGAAGTCCACTTAGGTTGTCATTATTGCTTAGTCTTTAAAAGGCACAAATAATCCACTGTAATGGTTTATGTTCTACCATCTGCTAATCATAAATCCATGAGTGCTCAGACAAAGGACTGGTCATTTTAGGGAGCAGTAGGAAAAAGAGCTGTATATTGGCCTTAAAAGGCCCAAGATTAATTCCAAAGCTTATGAGAAATACTTAGAAAATAGGGGCTAAAAATAAATCACAGATTTTTTTTTAAAGTCAGCAAAAAGAGCACGCACAAGCCCAAAGGGAAAAGCAGTTGATTAAATCTGTTCCATCAAGCAACTTCCCCGGAGACAGAGAAATTAAGTTTTGGAACATATCGCTGGGCTTGGCAGAAGGTGGGCAAGCAGGAACTCCTGGGTCCTCCCTTTAGGAGGAGGCTGCAGCCCAAGCTGCCAGAGCCTCATGCACAAGACTGGCTCTGAAGTTCAGTTCCTGGCCCTGCAGATGCTGTCAAGAGGCCAGGAGAGAGCCTGGAAGTCCCACTCAGCTGTCCAGGCACAGACGGCAGGGCTCAAAACAATACTGAGTTTTGGACAGTAATTAGATACAAATGGGAGTGAAGGCAGTATGACTATCATGGGACATACGAGAAAGAATTCTGACAGTTTGAGATGATGGGCACCCTTTACTGTTAAGTGTTCCATGCTTACTGGTTGCTGGTGCAAGATGCTAGAGATTGATACTGCCAGACTTTTCTACCTGGAGCAGCAACTTTACAATCCCAGAGACATAAATCCTGGCACTGGTCCCAGTTAGGCATTCTAGCTGTTGCTGCCACATACTGAAAGGGAGCTGCATCCTGGACGAGACTTTCCATGGGAGGGACTGTCAGCTTCACAAGGGATCAACTTCTCTTCAGACACCCGGCTTCCCTGCCTGCTGGCAGATGTTCTACGTGGTACAGGAATACTGCTCCAAGTCTCGGACATGGCTGCCAACTCAGACCTACCTCCGTGGGGTGCAGTCGTCATGTGGGGGGATGATGACAACTTTCACTGTGACAGATGTTCTCAGGAGATCGATCATTTGCTCATGGCTCAGGGTGGCCACTGCCACCTTGCAGATCTCCACCAGGCGGCTGCCCTGTCTCAGCCCTGCCTGCCAGGCATAGCCGTAGGGCTCCACATCTGCCACGATGCCCTCATAGTTGACATGGAAGCCAAGCTGTCCTAGCCCATTTCTTCTCAGAGTCATTTCTACAGATTCACAACCTTTGGAAACAAACTAGACAAGGAAATGAAAGGTACTAGCATTTAGTGCCGTAAGTTATCAGGTGGGGGACACAGATCTGGAAAAACACTGCAATCTGGATTATTCCTGAACACCCTACTGCCATCTGAAGGACAAGCTGGTTATTTCCCCTTCACTAGTCTCTATTCATTAGGCCAACAGCAACATATTGGTTGCTACCAAAGAGCTCAACAGCTTTTCTGAAGTTTTAAACCCCACGGGGAGCTGGCAGCAAAGAGAACCTGCACTCTGCCACTCCACAGCCCCTTTTAAAAAAATCCAAGGCGGCAACTCTTTTCAATGGCTATAGCCCACTGCTTGGACCACAAAAGCAGCCACCAAGGCAGTGGGATTAGGCAACATGCAAAAGAGTTTCCACCACAAACCCTTTGTCAAGGGACGCCTCTACTGCTGCTGCTTTTCTCGATAAATGATGGAAAATGCAGCCTCAGATACACTGCTGCTTCAAATGTCAAGTGAGATGCCCAACTAGTTGATGACACTTCAATCTTGTGTTCTTGGCTCTAGTCGACTGAGAACTTTATGAAAAAAAACTTGCATGTGGGTGAGAAGGAAAAGACTCACCTGTAGCCTCTTGACAATTTCTTTGATATCTTCATTGCTAATGAAACTCTCCACTGAAACACACTCTCCACGCTCGTAGAAGATTTTGAGGCTGGTGTCACTGGAAGTCCACCCTATCACATCCCTGCAGGAACAGTTGAAAACCACACTCTTTGTTTCCTGTTCGATGAGGACAATGAACTCATTGGAGATCCCAAGGAGGCAGTCTAATTCCATGGCCTTGTTGTAGTCTTTGGCCCGGACTGCCCACACGATGGCCCCCATGCTACTGAGTTCAGCTCCTGGATATGGCTTGGACTTTTCCTTCTTCTTGGAGGCCAGAGAAATGAATGGGAATTTGCCCGAAGGGTCGATGGGTGTGTTGGTGACGTTCTTTTCTGCCAGATCTTTCAGGTATTCCTGGCGGGTCCTTGTTGCCATAGCCCGGAACTTTTCTGATTTATGAGCAGCATTTTCTGCATTAATCACTTTGGCCAAAAGGAAGTCCCTGAACACATTTGACTTGGGGAACGTAATCCCTTTAGGGATGGGAGGTCCAAAGGAAGGCACATCTCTGGACCTGGTGACAGCCACACTGAGAAACAAAGCAAAGATCAAAGGGTGAGACGAGTGTCCGTATTTCTCAGTCTCCTATTACAATGTGAAAACAAAATATATTTTCACAAAGGGCTGGGGATGTAGCTCAATAGTGAGGCACTGGCCTAGCATGACTGTGCACAGCTCTGGGTTTGATCACTAGTGCTAGGGAAAGCAGGGGGCATATGTCAAAGGAAAATAATTGCTCTTTTGTGTAGGAAAACCCTACAGAGATTTCGGTTTAACATAAGTAAACCTTTTCATTCAACACATTTAGGAGAACATAAATTATTCCCTAGGCTACCCTCTCTACCTAAAAGTCTAAAGTTCAAACTTTCATTTCTATAACAGGTAGGAGACCAAACCATAGCATCAGGAAAAAACAAACAAAAAGCAAAACAAAATATTATTGTAATGGTCTACATTAAAAACAAACAAACAAACAAAAAAACCCCCAAAAAACCCACACCTATTTTAAATACCAATAGACTATTTCCAGTGATGGTTTCTATAATCAAATAGAAGAGAGATTTCAGAACAGAGATTCTGTCAGAACACAGACTTGTTCTCCTTGAGACAAGAAGCCTGTAGGCAAGACAGCTCAGCAGCCACTGAGCCATCTCTCCAGGCCCATCAGGAAGATGTCAAGAGGATACATGACATACGAGAAATGACTTAAACTTCAATAAAGCAAGTATTATTTATTGACTTATGTGTGAAACATTGTGTAACCAGATTAAAAGCATAACTTCAGAATAAAAATATCAATAACAATTTTTATGTAATCACCAAAGTACTTGATAATCCTACTTTTACATAATTATTCCTTGGTCCAAATTTTCTACTTCTGGCCTATGATTCTATCTGTGAGAAACATATTTTACTTTTTTCCATTTCTTCTCTTTTTAAAATTTGTTTTTATTTTAGGTGTTTATGAGTGTTTCTGTGTGCTTGTATGTGTGAAGTGTACATGAGGTGCAATGCCCATAGAGGCCAGAAGTGGGCATCAGATCCCCATTCCAGGAACTGGAGTTACACACAGTTGCTAGCCACTGTGGGTGTGAACCCAGGTTCTCTGCAAGAGCAGCCAGTGCTCTTAATTGCAGAGCATCTCTCCAGCCCGTTTTCCATTTATTTAAGCACGATCAACATAAGAAGGTCTGTTCCCATCATTTCTTTTGCATACATATGGTTGAAACACAGGCCCAAGGAAAAGGGTCCTAAGAACACCTGTATTAAATTAGTATAGTCTATTAATTTTAATCTCAAAAGGGAAAATATTAAGATTTTCCTAAAACAAAAGAAATTAAGTAGAAAGAGAAGCTGTATGTTTTATATCATGGTTCAAGATTACATGTGAGCCCCTCAGCCAAGCCTGCAGTGGCTAGAAAAGATGATTCTAACAGGTCAAGCATCCTGCTTTCCAAATAATCTATGTGAGTCAATCAAGAAACTGTGCTCAACATTAGGAAAGTTATATAAAAATCTGTTTTCTCAGAACTCTCAAGAGAAAGAATGTAACCTGAGAATGTACACCTTTTAAATTAAATCAAAGAACTGACTCACATTTTCTTTATTTTAAGAAAGGTCTTGCCAGAGACACACCTATAATCCTAGCACTTGGGAGACCCAGAGAGGATGATTACTGTGAGACTGAGGCCATCCCTGCTATAAAGTGAACTGAACAGCCACCTGGGCTGCAGAGTAAGAGGCTGTCTTACACCTCCCCATATACACACAAATGAGGAAGAGTCACACTTTGAGATCGTTAACTACCTTTAGAAAAACTGTTATATCTTAGTAGAAAATGGGATAAATAAAAATCTACAACCTAGCCAGGCATGGTAGCGCACACCTTTAATCCCAGCACTTGGGAGGCAGAGACAGGCAGATCTCTGTGAGTTCAAGGCCAGCCTGGTCTACATAGGGAGTTCCAGGCCAGCTGGGGCTACAGGGAGACCCTGTCTCAAAAAGACTCAAAAAAAAAAAAAAATCTACAACCTAAGGTTAGAAATTATACTCTGGTGAACTGGAAAAGCTACAGTGCCTGATGATACCTTGTATTAATCTATTTGATGCATTTCAAAGTTTTATTTTTAAAGACTACCTGGTAGTTTACTTTATGACAAAAGCAAAATGTCAACCTTGCTCCGTTTTCTAACTGGAGAAGAGAATTCTAAGAATCCTCTGTGCATGCATTATGACCTAATTACACAGTATTAGAAAGGCAGTTTCTCTTGTCTACTATGAGCTGTCTAGTTCGAATGCCGACAGCTGTATAATTTTAATTTGAACATGCTAGCTTTCCTCCCCTCTTCTGAAGTTGAGCAGAAGATGCTGAAATATCCAGATCTCATAGATTTTTCTTTAAGGGATCCTGTAGGATATAGATATATTTAATATCTTTCATTTTAAAATTGGCAATTTCTTCTCTTGCTAATTTCATTCAAGTTCTCAGAAACAGCTGTGATTTTATTGTAACTGAGGAGAGGAACATGCTCAGCAGGGGATGTGACTATGAACAGCATCCATCTACTTGCCCCTAAGCCTACAAGCTTTCTATACATCTATTTATTCAGCAACAAAACTTTAGACAAACATACAGTGAAAACCTACTAATAATTAGAAGCCTCTAGAATGAACTATGAAGGAGAGAACGGAATCTTCACCATGTAATTATCAGTGATTCACCACGGATGGGAGGTAAATGATACAGACAGTAATCAGCTCTGCATTATTAGAAACAGAATCCTCATGAAGATGAGGAAGATGATACCCTAGAAGGCTCCGTTCAAATAAAGAGTTTTGCTTTTGGACACACTAACTTCCAAGGTTTCTACAAGGTTAAAAAGCTCATTAATTCAGATGCCACCAATGCTATACTCTTGATAGTAAAGGCCCAGTTAGTTTAAGCTAAACAGAATATTTTGCCCGGGGTGGGGGTGGGGGTGGTGGAGAGTTAGCCTAGAATTTCTAAATATAGGTACTTAAGACATTAAGTATAAATAGTTTTTGCTATTTTTAAAAGCAGATTCCAAAGGGCCTCTGCCAGACACATTTACCCTAGCCTAGTGTGCAGCACTGTATCTTGGAAATAATGACAGACGCTTTATCATTATAGACATGCCCTAGTCACCTGGCAGCATGTAGACAAGGACTCACTGCCCAGGTGGGTTTAGAGGACAGAGCTTATAGAGTAAGCAGTCCTGGGTGGGGCCTCAGAGAAGTCACTGGTCCTCAAATGTCCATAAAGTCTTGAGCTTCATGTCAAAATTCATCTTGATTTTACATTCTAAGTAGGAAAATGTATGTCCACTTTAACCTATAAATACACACTCCAAAGTCTTTGAGATGGGGAGACCAAAAAGGGTCCTGTTCTCCAGGTGAACAACGGGTACAAATCCTCCACCTCTCCAGAAAACAGAGGCAGAGGAGCAAGATGATGGAGAGTTGATGGAGAGTGCCAGGGCTGGATAAGCTCTCAGCAGCCAACAGAGCTCTATGAGAAGACCACGCTGTTTGTTTCCCTTCCACCATGGCCAGTTTCCAAATCTTTCCTTCTTTCTCTCAGGCACTTGCTTAAAGGGACCATCCACATAAGTCTCATTGCCCGAGAGACCATCATGAGGCTATGTCTAGCTGGTTTGGACCATAGAACATTTTCAAGCATCAAAGACTTTGGAAGAAATAATAGGTCTCGATACCTAAAGTCAACTTCAAGTTGATATACAGGGATGTTCTAGGAATAGGAGAAGTCTTAGCAGAAATAGTATAGAATAAGACATTTGAACTTTGAAGCAAGGCATGGTGGCATATACTTGAAATCCAAGCACTTGGGATGTGGAGAATGATCAAGGGGTTCAAGGTCCTCCTCAGCTACATATTAAGTTCAAGGCCAGGCTGGGTTACACGAAACTCTCACTTCAAAAAACAAAACAACAACAAAAAAACAGGGCCAATGAGATAGGTCAGTGGGTAAAGGCACTTGCCACCAAGCCTAATGGCCTGAGTTTGATCTCTAGGGCTCACATGGAAGAAGGAGAGAATCTACTCTACAAGGTGTTCCCTGACCTCTGCATGTGCGCCATGGCATACCCCTCAATAAATAAATAAATGTGTAAAAAAAAAAAAATCACACACACACAAACTAAATCACAAACTAAAATAACAACAACAACAAAAGAGTTGTGAACTTTGGATGCACAATGGAAGCAGCAGTAAAACGATTCTCAACCTCAAATTTGAAAGAAAAACAGTCAGACCTGCTGGTGCAGTTCTGTTACCTTGGCCACCCAGGAAGCCAACTCAGGAGGACAGCAAGTTCAATGCCAGGGCTGCAGAGTAAGTTTAAGGCCAGCTCTGAGACCCTTTCTCAAAAAAGTGAAAAGAGGGCTCAAAGGCAGAACATTTATATAGCATGTGCCAGGACTAAAATAAAATAATAAGATAATGCAGAACACACCCAAGTGGCAGAGGAAGGTCCCTTCTTGGAGCTCGGGTGAGAATGAGGAAGGCTTGAGGAACTTTGTAAGAAGCAGACCTGGGTCCAGGGCAGGAACAGACACACAGGCTGTTCACTCTCTCTGGGAGCTGTGGGTTTCTAAGAGCACTTATTTCCCCAACAACACTTAAGGAGCTCCTATGCAGAAGAAGGAAGGCTCTGGGCTACTCTTGAAGACCAGATTCTTGAGAGATCACATATCTCAGAAGTGATGGGGTAGGGACAGGGGTTAGGAGAGACTGAGACCGGACTTGAAAGACCAAGATGTGCTGGGAATTTTAAGTACAAAGAGCAACATTCAGGTTTTGTCTTGAAAGGTCAGGTGTAATGGACAACAGGGATGTCAAGTATGACTGGATCCATCTCTTGTCTGCTTGCTTTTATTTTTCTTCCTTTTCTTAGATGAACCTTGCAAATGTTCTTTTTTTTTTTTTTTTTCCAGAGAAGAAACCAAAAAGACATTTGATGTGCACCTGTCACACTGCCTTGCCCATACTTAGTACCTCTTGGACCTTAAGTAGATGATACAAGCAGCCTTCTACTTCACAGAAGGGGATATCTGAGCCCTGAGCAATTTCAGACTCTGGTCTAATTCCAAGTGCTCTTTCCACTAAATCATGCTCACTCTTCAAAATCTACTACATTTGAACCAGTACAAATAGAAACCTTTCTGTGAGAAGTACCATGTATTTCTGCCTCCTAACATAGCTACTCACAACAATTTACATGTGTTTTGGAGACTCTGGCTCATTTTTATAATTACTTATTATTACTCTAGTCTAAAAATTAGTAATTCCTTAATTTCATCAAATTGGTAGTCCACTGTCTTAATGACTTTTTGTGCATATATTATGTTCTGAGTAAGATCCATATACTGCAAATAACTAACAGTATTTAGGACGTGTGATACTGGGGACTGAACCCAGGTCCTTGTGCATATAGTACAGCCCTGCAATTAATTAATCTTGACTAACTTCTCTTTCTGTAGAACCATCTTTACTTCCCTGATGCCTTTCTTTCTTGCAATGCATTTGTTGAAGAAGTTAGACAGTTTGTTGTCCCAGGTGTGACTTTGGTCAACTACACCAAGCTCCTTGGTCATCTGCATTTCCTTTAAAGTGGTTTGAATAAAGGCTTGATCACATTCAGATTTAATTTAGGGAGGGATGGACAAGACTGATCATAGGTGAGGTGGTACTCAGCCATTACAAGGTGCATATCTGTCTCTTTCTGTGGTATTTGTACCCTCTGATGGTCAAGACTAGATCCACTAATTAGTCATTGAAAAAATGGTGATATTCTACACTGTGTTTTTCAAGAGAAGTCCCCACAGGTGAGTAAAATACATATGTTTGTTTGCTCTCAAATCAAACAGCCCCAGACTGATCTATTTATAGAGTTTGTATCTCTGAGGTGAATAGCTTTTCTCCATCTCTTCAAATAATAACCACATACTGATGGCTGTCAGTACATCCCTTCACCTTTTTGATTGTCACTTATAATCTACTTTATCAGCTGGGGCTAGGAAATGAAGCTCACCACAAAGACACAAATAAGAACAGAGGCTGGAGGGCTCTCTAATCAATTATAGGGCAAGCTTTAGTACGGAGTTAAGTGATGAATTTCTGAGTTCTTGATCGATCATGATTATTCAATGTTAACTGACTTCTATCTAGAATTAGCTTTACCTACATGAACTTCCCAGTCTTTTGAGGAGGTACTAAACCATACTGCTTTAGGATCTCATTTCTGGACCCACTGTAGGAAATATTCTGTTATATCCCAGGGTACATACAAGGTAAGTACAGGACAAAGGAATAAAATAATGAGATAAAAGCCAACTGCAACCTCCAAATTTCTGAGACACTGGGTAAACCTATTGAGCCTCTACTTAAATAGGGTTACTCGAAGGCCCAGAGCTGCAAGAGCCTCTGTTCCCTACTTTTCTTCCCTGCCATAGGAACGTCTGGACTGTGCTTTCTACCCTCCATCAGATCTTTATGCTGTGCACACCATCACCACTCCTGAATGGGTTCCTGTACTTCCTATTGAATTTCACACATCTATGCTTTAAACACATACTACAAACTCCATTTTCTTAATTAAATATCCCTTTTAACTATTTACATTATTACAGTAAGACACTTATTTGAGAAAACAATGCTTCCACATTCCACATGCCAGCCAGCAGACGTGTCAGTTAAAACAAATAAAACAAAACACTGCCACCGTCCCCCCCAAAAAAGAAAACAGAAAAACAGATGAATGTTTCTAGTGGAAAAGTTAGAGCCAAGAGGATTGACTGACTGTGGTGCTGGGGATGGATACCAGGGCCTCATGCACGGTAGTCAAGTACTCTACCACTGAGCTATAGGCCTAGCCCAAGGGGTTTTCTGAGGGCTGGGGCTCTAGCTCAGTGGTAGAGCACTTATATATCATGGCCTTGGGTTCTAGCCTCAGTACTGGGGGGGGAGGGGATTAAAATAATCTAGCTATAAGAGGCTAAATTTTTCCACCAAAGTAATGAAAGGGAGCTGCCAGAGTATGGGGAAGATACAAGATGATCCAATGTAGCTAGCACCTTTAAAAAAAAAAGCAAATTTTCATTCTGCCTCAGAATACACATATTTCCATGAAAATATAAGCTCCTTCTCCCTTGTTTACCAACATTAAAGACTACAAGAGAAGTATACTGCTTATTCTAGGCTTCTAGCACCTCCTGACATCCTATGTGCCCCCAGAAAACATGCCCACCTCATTTGAGAAGGTCACAGAACAATTTGATATCTTAAGTTTACAGCAAAAGAACACTAACTTTAAATAAACAGGCATGTTCTGTGTGCTACTCATAGCAAAAGATTCCCAGAGCATCACACAGCCATGTTAAAAAGATGGGCTCTCTATGCAACAGATTCAAAATGTGAGAGTGACAGGCACATCATGATTTTCAGGACTGTAAATATGTGTGTGCAAGATAAAGAAAACACCAAGGAAGGCCAAGACTCCCGACCCCTGTGGGCTATCCATTACGGTGGCCAGTAGCCAAAAGCAGCTACTGAATGCTTAAAATGTGGTCACTGTAACTGGGGAATATTAAATTAGATTAAAATTTAGTTTCCAAAGTGTGCTTAGAACGATCTGGGTATATAACTGCATATCCAATTGTAAATGTTATGAAACTCCAATACGGATCAAGTTCATTCAATGGAAAGCTGACATTCAATCTGTGATGTTCTAGAACTAACTAAAATGCCCTCTAAATTGAAGACTTAGTACAAAAATGTAAATGTCACAATAATTAAAAAATTTAAATTACAAAGGATAGAGAGATGGCTCAGCGGTTAAGAGCACTGACTGCTCTTGCAGAGGACCTGGGTTCGATTCCCAGCACTCACATGGTGGCTACGAACTATCTATCCTTAACTCCAGTTCCAGGGGAATTAGAAGCCCTCTTCTGACCTCTGTGGCATTGCACGACAAGGGTGCACTCACATACATGCAGGCAATATACTCATACATATAAAATAAAAACAGTACTTTTAAAAATTTAAATTATGTGCTTTTTATTTTGAAATGATAATACTTAGATATATTTGGTAAATAAAATATAACACTGGGTCAGAAACATAAGCGTTGAAATTACTTTCACCTATATTTTTCTTTTAAAAAATTTGACTATTGGGGCTGGAGAGTTGGCTCAGCAGTCAAGAGCACAGACTGCTCTTGCAGAGGACCCGGCTTTGATTCCCAGCACCCACATGGCAGCTACAAACTGTCCTTAACCCCAGTTCCAGGGGAATCCAAAGCCCTCTTCTGACCTCCGCGGCATTGCACGACACAGGTGCACTCACATACATGCAGGCAGTACACTCATACACATAATATGAAAATTGACTATTAAAAAGCAATTAGTCAGGAGACAAAGGTAGGTAGATCTCTTTGAGTTTGAGGCCAGTCCAGTCTATAAGGCACTTTCAAACCAGCCAGGGCTACATAATAAGACCCTAGTGCCCATTCAAAATGGATTTAGATTTCTATTTACATCATAGTATGAAATCCTCTGCACAAATCCAGAAGACAGCATGCTGGGAATCTTCAGGGTATATGAAACAATTTCAACAAATGTATAAGGAAACAGAAAAAAAGTCTTTAGGCATATGCTTAGAAATGTTAGAGTAAATCAAGGAGGTCCTAAGCAAGGATTTGGGCTTTTTTAAAGCAACATTTCTTAAAAAATGAAGCTGTCTATCCTATTTATTATGAACATTCTTCTCTGTTCTTGCCATGCCAAAAGAAATACATAATTAGCAGTATGAGTAATTAGCTAGTTGGTGACCAGATGGTATGGATGAAGGACACCACCTAAGGAGGAGGTGCAAATGGAAACGGCAGGTGTCTAACCAACAAGCCTGGGGAATGCCAGCACCAGCAGTTACATCAGTGCGTGCATGCAGCCAACTGCACACAGTGTAAAGACAAAGAGGAAAAGTATCCGACTTCCTACCACACTTCAGAAAGCAGAGCTGGAAGAGGACTCTGCATAACCACCATCCACCAGGGACCATCCGCCTCACCATGCTGGCTCAGATGCATACCTGTAACAGACACTGTCGGTGCATGGGCCGTGAGCCCGGACAATGACGAAAACATGCTGAAAGTGGGATCGGATGTTTTTCGGGCTAAATGGCTGTGCTCCAGGCTCTTGAAAAACGATAGTTACAATGTCATTTCCAATGTGCCGCTTCCGTAGGAGCTGCAAGAAAAAAATAAGTGTGAACCTAAGTGACAATACTGAGACCTCCTCCCTTAACATTCCTTGCATTTAAACTCATTCTAAACCGGCACTCGCCGGGCAGGTAATCTACAGTTCCTGTCTGTATTTTAGTCTGTTTAGCATCCTCTCCCAAGGAAGAATATGGAAATGAATATTCTGAAATCTGCATAAAAAGATAGAGCCATTCAAACAGAGCTAACCAATATCTGGCATCTCCAAACCCTCAGTTTCTATAACAACAGTTGCATTCCATTTTCAGATAAGAAAGAAACATGCCATGGGAGAGTTTTAGAGATGGGAAATGGCCGAAATAATTACAACACGATTATGTCATGGCTTTATTTAAACTGAACGTTGCTAAGGGGTTTTTCCTGGAACACTTTTTGTGTTGCAAGTTAGGAGTGTAAAAATTAGTACTATTCCACAATATAGTACACTTTAAAGGCAGGCCAATTTTTGGCTTTAAACAACCTCCTTCATTACAAAGAAAACTTCAGACCACCTTCTGATTCATCTTATATGGCACTCTGTACAGTGGTTGTCGAAGTTAGGCACCTTCAACCATTCCGGACTGGTATGTTTCCAGGAGGGCTTATAAGACAGTTTAATTACAGTATAAGGAAAAAAAAACTGAAAAACGTTTGTATTTCTCATACTTATTTTTATGGAAGCTCTTAAAAGAGAAATACAATTAACTGTGACATTTATAAACTCTCCACTATATATAAACTTTCACTTATAAAACTTGTCCTTTTATTTTACATTCTCTTGTGACATTAAAGCACACAAATTACATAAAACCAGGAATCTAGCACTGGCCACCAGCTTGGAGAAACAACAGCCTTTCAGATTAGGATTGAGAACTGGGAGTTAAAGGGTTTTGGAAGTATACTTTTAGGAATTTTTTAATCATTCCAAATTATCTTCCAATGAGAAGTTTAATTCATTTCTAAGTATCAGATGTTATGAGAATAAAGACTGGTCTGAACTGATTGCTATCCTGAATATACCAATAATCAAAGTTCATTAATGTACTCGAGATCTTGGATTAAAAAAAAAACACCACTTGCCTATCACCATACACTACCTCTGCGTATATGACATTACCTTTTTCATGCAATATCATGAAACATATCTTGATATGTGAGTTCTTCAAAAGGATATATTAGAAACAAATTCATTTATCCAACTTATGCTACATATAAAGATTATATTTATAAAATGCATGAAAAATATTTAAAGATTTTTTTAAAGCTTATTTCTAAGTACAAATTCATCTACATAGAAGAAAATAAATTGATTAGCCAGAGAATGGAAATCTCTTAATATGTAGCAGTATAAATTATTTTCCCATTCTAATTTAGGACTATAATACTTTTGCTTTGATTGCTTACCCAAATCAAACAATAGTTGCCCATTTAAATAATTAACTTACTCAGCCCAGCACTTCAATAACTGAATCTTCATATTAAATATTGTACCCTGACAAATCTCATCTTCTTCAGAGTAATCAGGTAGAACAGACCTTTATCTCCTACTCAAAGTTTGTAACGTTATCATGATTTTTTTAAATTTTTATTTAATTTTATTTTACATGTATGAGAGTCTTGCCTACATGTGTCTAAATACACCCATGTCATGCAATGCCTGCAGAGGTCAGAAGAGAATGTCAAATTCCCTGGAACTAGAGTTAAGGCCAACTGTTAGCCACCATGTGGGTGCTGGGAACTGAACCCAGGTCCTCAGTCAGATTAGCCAGGGCTCGTAACCACTGAGCCATCTCTCCAGGCCCTAATTCTTTTAAACTTTGTCTAATGATTGGTCAGAATGAATTAAGTTTATCTTCCATAATATGGTGCTTTTCCCTGAGAGAATCGACAGCTGGAAGGTTCTATTAAACATGCTGTGCACAAAGTCTGGATCAAGGAGTTTATCTTAAGGTGAGTTTATTTCAGATTTATGGCTGACTCATTGCCTGTTTCCTATTTTTCATGACTTTGGTAATCAGGAAAAGCAAAGTTTTGTTCCTCAGGTTTGTGATTTTTGGAAGTGTGAGATTGGATGAGTGTTTGGTTAAGATCTGTGAAGGAGGACATGATTCATTCTGCAGCTGGCCTGTGTTTGCAGCACAACAAACAAAAACAAACATCCATGTCCACTGTGAGGTGAGAAGTGAAACTGGACCTAGCAAGCTTGCAATAGGTGAGGAAGGAGAGGCTATTGGCTCTCTGCTCCTTCTCAACGTCAGTTAAGTATCATTCATTTTGAAACATTAAAAAAAAAAAAAACAACCCAAAAGAGCCAACAGAAACAGTAACTACCACGTACTGTCTAAACAGTACTGTCAGCTTCCATTCGGCTCCGCCACAATCAGTTGCTTCTTAGCTTCTCTCTCCTCCATTTCAGAGGCTAGGCATTGTGCTCCTGGGTCTTCAGGAGATTACTGGTTACATTCCTTGCCATCTCCTCATAAACATTTTCAGAAAGAACATTACTCTGGACCCCACTGACAATGTCTTTGGCTAATCTCCCAGTTCGCATATCAAATATTGGAATCAAGATGAAACATCAGGACTTTCCTGTTCCATGCACTGGCCCCTTGAGATGAATCTTCACCCACTTGTCTAGGTCCTTTGCAATGCTGCAGTCATTTAATCACTGAGATTTCAACCTGTTCTCTTCAGAGTTCATAAAATCCTCAATCTCCAGTGTAAAAAGCAAATGATTAATTCACCAAGCCATCCAACTGGCTGTTAACCTAGAACTGGAGTCTCCATTGTTGTAGCCCGGTTGCTTTTCCTTGCTTCCATAAAGCAAAAAACTTCCTGATGCTGTGACAGGTGCAACGCTAAATTCTGGTGGCAGATTTTACAAACTTGCCACTTAGGTTTCTGGGGGAAATGAAATGGGGAAACGCAGATGACACGAACATCTCCTACCTGTTGCTTGTTGTTGGGTGTGTACGGTAGCATGGTGGAGACGTGGAACATAATTTCATAGTCTTTGTAGGTTGTGTACAGAGAATGGGTTCCAGTGGAGTCAGCTGAAGGTTTATAAAAAGAAACACAAGGCTGATGAAATGACTACAAGAGCAGGAAAAATAATTAAGAGAAAGATTTTAAAAAATGATTCTCAGAAAGAAAAGGCATTAGGATAAGACCTGTATTTCCAAATTGTTAAATTGCTGATCCTTTCTTGAAGTTCTATGAAGTCTATGGACTGAACATTTTCTCAGAAAATTTTGAATGCATAAATGTTTATTTTAATTTAAAATTTAAAATTAGTTTTACTAATTATTTAATAATAATTTATTTATTTATTTTAGTTTTAAAATGTCTTCAACAAACATACAAATTGGTGTTAGGGAGAACGTTTGCTGGACAAAGTGCTTGCTCCACAAGTTTGAGGACTGGTTTGTAATTCTAGCACTCAGAATGCATAGAAAGGAGATCCCCACAGCAAGCTGGCTACCCAACTGCTGAGCAATGGGTTCAAGAGAAACCCTGCCTCAGTACATAAGGTGGAGAATGACCAAGGAAGACACCTGATGTTAACTTCTGGCCACAACATGCAAATAGATACATGTGCATACATACCCACATGTGCTCACATACATATACACATGCATGTACCCATATATAATACACACACAAAAAAGCAGCTAATTATCAAAATAATTTTAAAAACATGCCAGGCGTGATGGCACACAACTTTAATTCCAGCACTCAGGAAGCAGAGGCAGGCAGATCTCTGTGAGTTCAAGGCCAGTCTGGTCTACATAGGGAGTTCCAGGCCAGGTGGGGCTACAGGGAGACCCTATCCTAAAATAGACCAAAAAAATAAATAGACAAAATAAAATAAAAACATGCTATTGTCAGACATGGTGGTGTAAGCCCTGAACTCGAGGCTAAGGCAGGAGAACTGCTAGAAGTCTGAGGCCATCCTGGGCCACAGTGAGTTCCAGGTCAGCCTAAACTATCTAAAAAGAACTTCTCTCAAAATACAAAACATCGAAAACTCCAAATAACTTTTGAAAGTGGTAAATGCTGTGGGTAACATTTATACAACAAGATTCAGGAAACGGTCTAATTGCTACTGTAATATGGAAGTAGTCATGAACATAAGCAATATTACCATCAATAAATATGATGGAAAAATTTGATTTTTGTTGGCAATAAAAGTTGGAGGTAGCCTGTTCTCTATTAACTGAAGGAAATGCTAAACTCAATCTAGAGCCAGTAAAAATAAAGATAAAACTATCTCCCATTCAAATTCAGGCATCAAGAACCAATTTTCTAATATTTCCCAGTCAAGCAAGAGGAACAAGACCCTAACACTGCAGAACAAGGGACCAGCAGGGCCCCAGTTTTAAAAGACTTCTGTACGTGCTGTATTTTCACTTCACCTAAGGAAAACCTAATCATTACCACCTAAACAAAAGAATGAATTTCAGAATCAATGGGCCCACAAATACCTATAACCAGAGAAGATAACTATCAAATTCCCAGGTGAAAGGACTGTTGAGACTCAGAAGCCCTGGAGTTACAGGTGCCAAGAGAATCGAAAGACATTTGTTCTGGGTAAACTGAGACCATCAGCCACAGTTTTGAGAAATAAAATACTTTATTGCATTTTAGAGCATGATGCAATAAGACAAAGTCACTGGCATGTACCAAAAGGTAGTAGCTCTCAAAATTCAGTATGCACAGCACCAGCTGAGGAGCTCATTTGAAAGGCAAAATCTAGAAGCAGGAGGGATGGCCCAGTGGTTAAGTGCACTGACTGCTCTTGCAGAGGACTGGGTTCAATTCACAGTACCCACATGGTGACTAACAACTGTCTGTAATTCCAGTTCTAGGGGATCTGATGCCTTCTGACCTTCACAGGCACTGCACGACATGGGTGCACTTACACACATGCAGTCAATACACACATACACATAAATAAAAATAAAAAAATTTTAAAAGGCCAAATCCAGGGTCCCAGACCCAGAAATACTGCACAGTGTGTATGAGGCCTCAAAAGAGGAAACTAGGGCCTTAAAATTTTATATGAATGAGTGTCTTGCCTGCATGGATGTAAATCCATCACAGTTATGCACTGCTCATGGAGGTCAGAAGAAGACATTGGATTCCATTTAGTCAACATATAGGGGGTGGGAACTGAACCTGGGCCCTCTGCAAAAGCAGTCAGTGTTCATAACCACTGAACCATCTCTCTAGCCCTGGAATCTAGTTTCAATGACCATTCCCGGTAACTCTGATGCATGAGCACCCATAGCTCTGAGGTACTGTTCCAAGCACAGTGACTTGCAGACAGCTTTAGAAAGATGATCTACAGTTCTGAGTTTTAGGCTTGAGCTTATTAGAAGATATTCATTTTGAATCTCATGCAAAATGCAAAGAAATTAGCTTAAATTAGAGCAAAGCAAAGATGACTTTTAAAAAATTGCAAAATACACAGAAACATGTACTCGAGAAAAAAATCTTATGTTAATGACCACCACCACAAAGACTGTAAACTATTGCAATAAAGTGTTCAGCTAAACTGTTTAAGATTGGTCTTAATTATGAAGACCATATCTACTGTTAGGGACCCTGCTATAAACACCTGCATATAAGTGCCCTTTAAGACTTTAAAATGAATGTGCCACCTCTGACATGTACTTACATGTGTTTCAAGGTGGTTTTAAGCAAAATTAATAAACTAGAAAAGATGCTGCCAGAGACATTTATTAATTTGCATTTTGCTTTATATGCATCACCAGAGAGGAAAAGTAGTACAATGAGAACCTGTTTTGCCACTGCTCGCTCTTCTCTGCACGCCCCACTTCATACCATTGCTGCTACCTGACCAGCCCTTTTCTTGGGATCTTCAGAAATCCCAGAGTTCTGCTGATATTCTGAACAGTTTGGAAATGATTTCATAAGGTTTAAAGATGAGACTAGCATCAAAACAATGAGACTTTCCCTTTTGTGAAGAAAGCAACTCCCAAAATCAAGATGATTACATACATTATAGAATTGCTAAATTTGCCAGAGAAAACAGAAAAGAATGTTTGCCATACTTTCTAAACTAAAATATTCAATGCCCTATTATACTTTTAATGACCACGAAACCCTGAAATCATGAAAGTCCTCAGAGGATGATGACTTGGAAAAGGAAAACAATGTTTCCTCATCTTGTTGAAGGGGATATGTTTATGCACTCTCTAAAAGGAAAATGTGCTTGTGGGAAAGCTGATGCATCTTCATCACAGTTGAATGGGGCTCAATTTGTTGTTGTTGCTGCTGTTTTTGACAGGGTCTCCCTAGTCACAGCCTAGTCACAATGTGAACCAGGGTGGCTTGATCTCACAGAGATCCACCTGCCTTTGTCTACGGAGGGCTGGGATTAAAGGCGCACACCACCCACACCCGGTATTAGGTGTTCAATTCTTAAATAGTAAACTCAGGCATTACTCAGTCACCTTGATGGCCATGTGACCCACCTCCAACTCACACCACCAGTGAGTGGCACACACTCACTGATACAGTCTGCACTCCACAGTTAGGTCACAGAAAGGAAAACCTTTAGCCAGCACAGTGGTGCACACCTATAATTCTGACACTTGGTAGATGAGAAAGGAGGATCTCGAGTCTGAGGACTCGTGGCCTACATAGTGATATCCTGTCTCAAAAACTTCATAAATAAATAAAACTTCTATTACTCAAAGTAGATAAAAAGAAATGGATTACAGAAGAACAGTCACCATCTATTACTGTTAACAGTCTGTGTATATTACTGTAGCCACGGTGAGCACTGCTATGCTTTCAAAGGGTGTCAATAAGATGTTCCATTCAGCATTTCTTTAAAAAAAATTTTTTTATTTATTTTTATGTTATGTGTATGCATGTATTGCCTGCATGTAGGCAAGTGCACCCATGGCATGCAATGCCCACAAAGGTCAGAAGAGGCTGTCGGATCCCCTGTAACTGGAATTACGGACAGGACAGTTGTTAGCTGTCATGTGGGTGCTGGGTCTTCTGTAAGAACAGCCAGTGTTCTTAACTGCTGAGCCATCTCTCCAGCCCCCAATTCAGCATTTCTACCTGAAGACACTTCAAATTTGTGGACGCAGGCTACAGGCAGAGCCAATGTCACTGTCATTCGTGACTTGGCTCTTGCTTTAAAGTTCATGCTTGGTGCACGTATGTGAATGTGAATGAGGAAAAAGCAATTAGTTTTTCATGTAACTCATTTAACTTTTTCTTGGACATGCAAAGATATGCTTGGGAAAAACTAGACGGCAAATACATAAAGCCTACTTGATTTTTTGAAAGTTTATAGCCTCAAATATCTGTGCAGACTGGAGTATAGCTCAGTAAGAGTGCTTCCCTGGCATACATGAGCCCCTGGGTTTGATCTCTGGCATTCCCATGATAAATGAATGCAGAAAAGTAACAATATGAGAGACAAAATTCACAGATGGGTCTGTGCCACCATCCCCGTTTTGCAGTACTTAGAAGGCGTTGTGCTAAGCACTGTCTCACTCTGCCCAGTCCTCCTTTTATTTTTTATTCTGAGATAGTGTTTCACTAAGTTGATCAGGCTGGCTTTAGACGCTCTGACCCAGGTAGGTCTTGAACTTGGGTTCCTCTGACCTCAACAGCCTCCAAAGTAGCTGGGATTACAGGTCTATACCACCAGACCCAGTTATTCTTCCTTAGTTTGAAATAACATTAATAGTTAAGTTGCTTCTTGGGGTCCATTTAAGACCCCTGAGCTGAAGTCCGATCTCATGTGTATGTAACTTTCCCTTATGATCTGGTGGGGTGCTGAAGTCAAGGCTGACAGGCACAGCAGGAGTCAGGTATGCCCTTCTAAAACACTGGCTTGTTTGGGGGACCATGCAAGTTTTAGACCCTGAGGTATTGTTTTGCTACTCCAGTAGCTGTGAAAGTCAAAAATTCTACCAGCTCTGGTACCTACCATATTTGCTAATTTAAATAATGTTTCTCTAGCTATGGACAAGAGATAGGTTACTTCAATGGGGATGGGGCA